GGGGGGGGGGGCCTTACCTGCAGGTCAGCACACTGCCAGGCATTCCCAGTGTCGCTGCATAGACCAGTGCAAATCTGTGTATATGGACACTGAGAATGGGGGAGGGAAGAGGCTAGATCTGATAGATAGATAGATAGATAGATAGATAGATAGACATGTTGATAGATAATAGATTGATTGATTGATTGATGAAAGAATAGAGAGCCATAGAAGGATTGATCAATAGATAAACTGAACTAGAATATAGACACACAAATACGTGGATACATAGATACAACATAGATAGATATACAAAGGTAAATAGATACACGGTAGATCAATGGATAGATAGATAGATAGATAGATAGATAGATAGATAGATAGATAGACTGATAGATAGATAGATAGATAGATAGATAGATAGATAGATAGATAGATAATCAGATAGACTGATTGATTGATTGAATGAAAGATTGCTTAACAGATAGATAGTAGATAGGAGGACTGATAGATAGATAGATAGATAGATAGATAGATAGATAGATAGATAGATAGAAGGGTAGCTAGATTGATTGAAGGATTGCTTCACAGACAGATGATAGATTGAAGAACTGATTGATTAATCAATAGATAGAGAGACTGATTGATTGATTGATAGAAGGATTGATTCACAGATAGACATTAATAATTGATAGAAGGATTGATTGATTTATTGATAGATCAATAGGGGGTTATAGGGAGTGATAAAGGAAAGTACACAGTCCCTCCTCCAGTCCCTCCAGACAGATGTATTGTGACGCTCCGTCAGGAAATATCCATTGTTCTGCTGTAACTCTCGGCCTTCCTCCACTTTCCTCCTCTTAGGACTCATCCCGTGCGGTCTGGACTCACCACATGGAGACAATACATCTGATTGGTTGACGATTGATCCAGCAGGGAGATGAGGGCCGCGGGGGCGGCGACCTGGCTCAGCCAATGGCTGCTCCTCTTTGTGACGGTGGCCGAGCTGGTCGGTGGGGTGAGCCGGCCCACGGACATCAAGCCGGCGGAGCTCGGGAAGCGTTACTTCGGACGCATCGACAGGAACAACGAAGAGGTCTACGCGTTCAACTACACCAGCAGCCCGGACAAGGTAAGGATCTCCACCCCAAAGCTTCGCCTAGGGCGTGGATGGTTCCATTCCATCGAGCTCACCTGTGAAGCTCATTCTGAAACCTTTTCCTTGTAGTCACTGTTGTTGCACATTTGTTACATTGCTGTTTCATATTTCCATTATTATGCTGCATATATGTTTAGATTCTGTCTGTACCGCCCAACTTTGTACCAGAGAATATGATTAACTTCCTTCCCTTTCCCGATAAGATCATTTCCCACCTGTTGTCTTACATCAAGGTGGCTCAGTGGTTAGGGGTACATCATGTTGGATCTGTGGTTAGGGTTATATCAGGGTGGCTCAGCAGTTAGGGTTACATCATGTTGGATCTTTGGTTATGGTTATATCAGGGTGGCTCAGCAGTTAGGGTTACATCATGTTGGATCTGTGGTTAGGGTTATATCAGAGTGGCTCAGTGGTTAGGGGTACATCACGTTGGATCTGTGGTTATGGTTATATCAGAGTGGCTCAGTGGTTAGGGGTACATCATGTTGGGTCTGTGGTTAGGGTTATATCAGGGTGGCTCAGTGGTTAGGGGTACATCATGTTGGATCTGTGGTTAGGGTTATATCAGAGTGGCTCAGTGGTTAGGGTTACATCATGTTGGGTCTGTGGTTAGAGTGATTTCAGGGTGGTTAGGGTTACATCATGTTGGATCTGTGGTTAGGGTTATATCAGAGTGGCTCGGTGGTTAGGGGTACATCATGTTAGGTCTGTGGTTAGGATTAGATCAGAGTGGCTCAGTGGTTAGGGGTACATCATGTTGGATCTGTGGTTAGGGTTATATCAGAGTGGCTCAGTGGTTAGGGTTACATCATGTTGAATCAGTGGTTAGGGTTTCATGATGGTGGTAAATGGTTAGAATTACAACCCAGTGTCTCGGTGGTTATGATTACATCATGGTAGACCCCAGTGTACACTATGACCCCCGTATGTGTGTGTGTGTGTGGGGGGGTAGCTGATAAGACAACAAATACCGCCCATCCTTCCAAGCTATTCCAGTGTACTAACAAGGACAAGAAATGACGCTATTGGTTCTTAGAGAAGTTCACCATTTATAAGTTGTGGTAAATAGTCCGATATTATGGGATGATTGACATGTCTGTGCCGGCCCAGTGTGTGATGTCACCGGGAGGTATCTCATGAATTATGCTAATGTAACTTTGCTTAAAGGAGAACTATGGGGTCAGTGTTTTTCCCCATAGTTCTCCTTAGGGTAACGGGAGGACACAAACTAGCGTCCTCCCCTCACCCTAGGCTCAGTATATAGGGAGCTGCAGCTCGCGGTATACTGAGACGCCGGAGCTGATCCCGACATCGATGTCGAGATCCGCCCAGCTGCGTGAGTGACAGCTGGCTCTGCCTATCTAGAGGCAGAGCCAGCTGTACCCGCCCCCTCCTCCGTCGGCTCCGCCAGTCAGCGCTGGAGGATCGGAGCAGGGAGGGGGGAATCCAGCCCCTCCCCTGTCACGGCAGAGAGCCGTGACAAGATCGAGAGGTGAGCGAACGCCGGTATGTGTTCGCTCACCTCCCGATCTACTGAGCCGACCTGTGACAGTCTCATTGTCACAGGTCGGCTAGAGCTATGAGGTGAGGGAAAAGCACCCCCTCCCCTCATAGTTCTCCTTTAATAATCAATGTCATTCTTTTTTCTGGTAGTAGTACGCTGGCTATTGTACCGCCCAACATATGTTCAATAAACCTTCCTTATGAGAGCACACAAATCTCTGTTCCTGGTTTTGCACGAGGTCTGATATTCCTGCCAGGACAGTATACACTATGACCAGGGTAGACCCCAGTATACACTATGACCAGGGTAGACCCCAGTGTACACTATGACCAGGGTAGACCCCAGTGTACACTATGACCCCCATAGACCCCAGTATACACTATGATCCCGGTAGATCCCAGTGTACACTATGACCCCAGTAGATCCCAGTGTACACTATGATCCCGGTAGATCCCAGTGTACACTATGACCCCAGTAGATCCCAGTGTACACTATGATCCCGGTAGATCCCAGTGTACACCATGACCCCCAGTAGATCCCAGTGTACACCATGACCCCAGTAGATCCCAGTGTACACCATGACCCCCAGTAGATCCCAGTGTACACCATGACCCCAGTAGATCCCAGTGTACACCATGACCCCCAGTAGATCCCAGTGTACACTATGACCCCCATATGTCTGGTTGTATATTTTATGTTAGTGACCACACGTCACATGAGGTCTTCACATGTCACATCTGGTCTTCACATGTCACATGTTGTCTTTACACGTCCATTATCCAAACAGAGACACCGGATCATTACTGTCGTTACCGTGTTACCCGGCACCATGATAAGGATGTCCACCTCCACGTGGAATAGTAAATGTATAACTTTTCCTGCTGTGATCATCACATATTGAGCCAAAGTAAACCTGCTTTCCCTTTTCAGAGAGCAATGCCTTCCAGATCATACATAGAGCAGAGGGCATGCCTTCCAGATCATACATAGAGCAGAGGGCATGCCTTCCACATCATACATAGAGCAGAGAGCAATAGCTTCCAGATCATACATAGAGCAGAGAGCAATACCTTCCAGTTCATACATAGAGCAGAGAGCAATACCTTCCAGATCATACATAGAGCAGAGGGCATGCCTTCCAGATCATACATAGAGCAGAGGGCAATGCCTTCCAGAGCATACATAGAGCAGAGGGCATGCCTTCCAGATCATACATAGAGCAGAGGGCAATGCCTTCCAGAGCATACATAGAGCAGAGGGCATGCCTTCCAGATCATACATAGAGCAGAGGGCAATGCCTTCCAGAGCATACATAGAGCAGAGGGCATGCCTTCCAGATCATACATAGAGCAGAGGGCAATGCCTTCCAGAGCATACATAGAGCAGAGGGCATGCCTTCCAGATCATACATAGAGCAGAGGGCAATGCCTTCCAGAGCATACATAGAGCAGAGGGCATGCCTTCCAGATCATACATAGAGCAGAGGGCAATGCCTTCCAGAGCATACATAGAGCAGAGGGCATGCCTTCCAGATCATACATAGAGCAGAGGGCAATGCCTTCCAGAGCATACATAGAGCAGAGGGCATGCCTTCCAGATCATACATAGAGCAGAGGGCAATGCCTTCCAGAGCATACATAGAGCAGAGGGCATGCCTTCCAGATCATACATAGAGCAGAGGGCAATGCCTTCCAGAGCATACATAGAGCAGAGGGCATGCCTTCCAGATCATACATAGAGCAGAGGGCAATGCCTTCCAGAGCATACATAGAGCAGAGGGCAATACCTTCCAGGTCATACATAGAGCAGAGGGCATGCCTTCCAGATCATACATAGAGCAGAGGGCATGCCTTCCAGATCATACATAGAGCAGAGGGCATGCCTTCGAGATCATACATAGAGCAGAGGGTAATACCTTCCAGTTCATACATAGAGCAGAGAGCAATACCTTCCAGATCATGCATGCCTTCCAGTCCCCACATAGGACAGGTTCTCTTGTCAGTCCTGACCTTGGTGCAGGTACATTGCCCTGATAACATTTGTATGTAGTATAGTATGTAGCATCGGTCATGGCTGATATCATAGAGTGTTGTGCAGACCGAGCCGTGCTTTGTACTGTGGCGGTCACACTCATTATCCGGCATGAGTAACACACGGCATACCGCATGGTGTGCGCGCATTACATTGCAATTCATCTTAAATGGCGGCACGCAGCCGAATCACACCCGCCCCCTCAGGCAGGAGACAAATGAGGCAGGAGTGTTTTTCGTGTAGACCTGTGGACACACATTGAGGGTCCAGGAAAGTAAAGGACGACGGGCCACCAAAGTGTCAGCACCCCAAAAAAAGGGGCAATGTGTGCAACTGTCCCACAGGTCAATCTATTCTTTATCTGTTCA